GATTAATTAGTTGATTACGTACAGCTATCGACATATATAGATAGGCCCAATTAAGAAGAGTAATTTGCACAAAGAGTCGATCCTGTTCATTCAGACTGCTTTTACTATTTGTCGAGATACATTTTACTATTCATAGGCTTGTGATTGGTTGTTGCGCACTGTGGCGGGCCGTGTTCCTTTGGTTGTCTAGTATATATTAACTCCTACTGATGAGCCGCGATCGACCCTATGCATTTGCATAGAATAGAAAGAATAATTTCATATGATATGAGATTATGAGTAGCAAATGGAGATCAATAATTCTTTTCACATGTAAGCTGGCTAGAAGTAGAACGACCCTCATAAGTCCAGGGAAAAGAGTAACGATTGAAAAATTTTGTCCATGCAATGGCCCCATCACCGTAGAATTATTATACCTTTCCCTAATTCTAAAGACATATGGGGGAATTAGGTAAAAGTGTTGAATAATTGGGCGTTTTTGCCTTTGTTGACCCATGAGACCACCATTATGTGCATGCACAATGCAACCCAAATCTACCTAAACCTAAGCTAGCTAATTAACAATGCAAGTTTTCGGCTTGATTTGTCTTTCTTTCTTTATTTATTCTTGTTGAGTGATTGACACGTATATATGACATAACCCCTTCATTTGGTTTTTTTATAAATATTATTTATTGCCCTAAACTCGGAACATTCTCCACTAATTCAACAATAGGGTTGCTACCTGCAACGGAAGTTCTCACGATGGAATTCAGATCACCTTAATTTAAGTATATAAAGACCCTATCTGTAAGTAAAATTCTCAGGTGGGAATTCAGATCATGTTCAATGTTGACTATTGATTTGAGTACATGAAAATGCCGGAGTACAAATTTTAAATTTATAAGTTGGTTTTTGTTTGAAGTAACATGTAAGAAAACGAAATTAATTTTATTTATAATCTCTTTCAAAAATTTAAATTATTAGAACGAACGAATTATTTAAGACCTTTACCCGTAAATGGTTTGCTAGGTAACATCAATAATCATTTGTTAATGTGCAATCTTTTGGAGGAAAAAAGTGGGAGCATCTTGTTTGAGGTAGAGAAGTTTCCCACTTATGCAAGTTGGCAGCCAAAGCTAGGATTTGGAGGGACAAGTACGTAATGTGAGAAGGAAACGCCTAGAGAAAGAGAGTTGCAAATGTAGACCTAGATTAGTAAAAGGTGCTCATTAGAGGAAGCCTTTTCCTGTGCAAATATAAAGTTGCTGTTTGAAAAAACTCATAGAAAATTTACAATTGGTTATTGATTATCATACCAAAAACGTGCTACAATATCCCAATTTTGAGCATTGTAAATTTATAAGTTAGAAGGGAAAACAAATGTCAAAATATAAGTATAATCTTTTGTTTGAATCTCTATGTAGTATATAGTCATTTTATCAATTACATATGTTCTTTATTATTTATAGGACGGAAGTAGGGAAAGTAATGTGTCCGGTTTGTTTAAACATAAATCCAAGTATGCAACCATTTAAAAATTTCGAGAAAATACCCACTGAGTTTTGGAAAAGCAAACCCTATCCAACCCCAATAGATACCCATGACTTCACGAACATTACTATACAGTATTTCTCCGAACACATCTATAGTAATATTATCAAAATTATTCTTACAATTATATCTTTCCAAAGACTAAAGAAATCAATAAATTATACGTATTATTATGTTATACTGACATCAAAACTTAAAAATATCAATAGATTATTCATATTATCCTTGTTCCTAAAGTTTACATAGGGTAACAATTAGTCTTACTAACACAAATTGCCCTAATAAATCCAAGCATACATATATGGTCATGGAGCTCATACCATCCATTTACATTTTAGATAGTGTGCTGCCTATATTGATTAAAATGAAAAACTATTTGGAAGATTAAAAACACTTGGTGCAAGTTGAAAGGGATGAAAATGACGGGAGTGCCTTTTTGTGGTTGTAAAACCTAAAAAAGCATTTGTTGGACTTTAGGCGTATCATTTTTAGGAAAGAATGTGGATTTCGCACTGGCAAAAGGTAATGTTAGAAACCTAGCTGGTGGCACAAGCCTTTGCCAAAACGTTCTAAACCAACACGTGTGGTTTTTGGTTAATAATATAGCTTTGTTTATTAATCATCAATAATTTAATCACTGTGTGGTGGTTAATTGTAATGTTGATTCTAGATCATGCGAGAAGGAAAGGGACTGATTGGGAGATTACAAATCCAAATACCCAAAAGAATCAACGTATTAGGTGAAGCCCGCAGCCCCACGACGATGAAGAATTCAAAGCACTAGTTACACGTCTTAGCTAACTTTGTTCTTGTGATGGTACTGCATCATGCATAGGTCACAATAGACCACAAATTTAATCGATTATCGGTGCGACTTAATATAAATAACCGTGCACAAGGAAATTTCGGGTGTAAATTCTATCGTTCTAGAGAAAATTAGGTCTGCTGGCTTGTTCGTCTACAAGACTCGAACCATATCTCGTAGTTGTGGAGCTTCCCAGATTCTATTGTTCACTCAATTGCATCACAAAGCGAACGTTTAACAGAAGAGACGAGCAATCACCACATGCTAACATCATGCCCCTACTGAAATCCCAAAACTATGAACTCCTGAGACTGCTATTTTCAAAGTGTCCAGAATTTGAACAAAGGACGAAACGAGCGAGAACAATGAAGCCACACAGGTCAATTCAGCAGCCTGGATTTTATTCTCAAACAAATGGTTCAGACATGAGTGAGAAGTAAGAGTTATATCTTCTTTTCATTCATCGACATCATCCTTGCAACCAACAAAAACTCGAACAGAATGATGGGCCAAATTAGGGTCCCGTCGACCACCCTCAACTTCGCGTACTTCCTGGTTAAAAAAAGCCACAAATTTACCAGTCAGGCTTTCGGGCAAACCGGAAACACACCTCTAAAGCAGAATCTATAGAGCATGAAGTACGCATCACAGAACAAAGAATGCCCTAAGCTCAGTGGTCAAAACATATACTCAGGGACATGTCCACCCAATGGATTGAAAGGCATGACACCCTTTCCATTTCAACTACAAGCATTGCCCTTATAGAACAAACCAAAGATAGAGAGAACAAATCAAAGTTATGATTTACCATCTCAATCATGAACAAGCATTGCATGTCTTCATGCAAATTCAACCTAACTTAGTGCTTTCCATTATAAAAAAAAAAAAACCTAACTTAGTGCTTTCACAAACTTCAGGCAGTTCAATACTTCAATTCCATGACAAAGGAGAAAAGGTTTTGAATGAGTAATTTGGACATTTGTACTCTATTTGAATTGAAACAGACTGCAAATTTTTGTAACAAACATTCAAGGGTATACAGCTACCAGCTGAGTAACAAAGACAAAATATGATGACAATCAAGAAATCAAGGAGTTTCAAAACATCCTTAACCGGATCCCAAGTTTCCATTTGCTGAAGTTAGCACCCAGCTAACTGAAAGTGGATCAATATCCAGAAAGAAGGGGATATATTAAGACACTATCATAGACCATAGACAAGCTCGGTCAACGAATGGATGTAGAAGACAGTAAACATAAATATATCATGGCGAAGCAAGGGAGAGGGAGACATACGTCATTCTACATCTTTACTAAAAGGAAAATTTGGCCAATAACACAGCCATACGAGACAATAACCAAGGATGAATTTGATCCACTGTAGTTTACACACTAGAGTACACTGACTGAGAAATACATCCAGAGTGCCCTTGCATCCAAGTAGAATCAAGATTCAAAATTTTAACGATTTGTACAACCCAGGGGAACAATTACGTATAAATACCATTACTCAGGCTGCTTAATACTCACAAAGAACGTGTATGTAAAATTGTTTAATACAATGAGCAGTCCAAGTAAAACACCGTTATTTGTAACAGCATACCCTATTACTGCTTTCCTGGTGAGGATGACAACACTAACGAATGGGTTAGTTTTCTTAAGCATTGCTTTGACTCCTGTCCTGGTTCTCATTTGACGTGAGTAGTTATTAACAAAAAGGTGCAGGCTAAAATGATGGAACAAATCCTCTTCCATGAAAAAGGAAGCAAATTCCTCCTCCGCTTATCTCATTACCTACCTTTATTCGCTTATCCCACACAAGTAGATCAGTCTCCCCTGAAGAAAGAGGCTTAAGGTATCAATAGAAAAGGCCTTCCATCCTCCTCCCAATATTAACTCAGTTTATGTAGAAATGTAAGTTCAGTAAAGGTTGTCTTTCCGGAACTCAACAAGAGGACTTGCTTTTAATCAACTCTAACATATTTTCTCAAGTTAATCCCTCAACCAAGAACAATGAGTTTCTAAAGCATGTATCCACAATTATTGTCTCCATATACCTAACTTGGGAAGAGAAATTGCTAAAATCCTCTGAATCTCACACAATTTTTCTCAACCGTCCAAACCTAATGAAAAATCTATCTAAGGGAAGCATGCAAATCCTCAAGCCAGCAGCAAGGGCTTCAAACACATTGTCTATTATAACTTGTATTGCAAACTGAAAGGCCTATAGGAAAGTGACCCACAAGGTTCCTAAAAACAGAGTAATAGTGCCTTTTCTCACGCAAAATCTGATCAAGAAATATACTATCTGGCCATTACCCAACAGGATTAAGAACTGAATCTACCATTCAGGAAAAATACCAAGTCTATCAAGAACTAAGTGTGCAATTCACTAAATCCAAGTCTTATCAACCAAAAATGATCAAAACATATGGCTCCTAGGTGAAAATCACGAGCAGTCCCAGCAGAAGGACCAGAAGAAACAAAGGAAAAAAGGGAACCTAATACAAGAGAACAAGGAACACAAGCACCACCTCGATTAAATTTGAGCAACTTCCTGGAAAGCGCATTAGCAAATGAGAGATGTCCTAATCCGAATTGAGGGAAATTGAGGCATGAAAGAAGTCGAATTGATCGAAGAAGAATACCAGGAGTGGTTGGGTCTAGGCATTGGCAGTCTTGGGGATGAGACCGATAGCAACACCTCCTTTGTTTGGTTGTTTCAAATTGGCCTCCTTTTCGCGGATCTTCTGCATCTGGAGCATCCTCTCCATCACGAGCTCGTACTCGCACTTCTCGTAGGAATGGCGCTCGTTCTCGCACTTCCAAGGCAAATAGAACTCGGCCTGGCGGCACTTGTTGAGCGGGATGAGAAGGTGGGCGCACTGGTCTCTGTACGCCATGGGTACTCTCGCTTCCACCATCTCCGCCTGCGTTGCGATCATGGGCTTCGATGATCCTGGTGCTTCCATTGCTGCAACTTTTCCAACGAGAATTTGCCCTCCAATCGACGAACGTATGAACGATGAAGAAGATGAAAAATGGGGGATTTTGATCTGTTGCCTTCTTTCTCCTTTTCTCGCTGCTGGCGCTGCTGAGGACAGAAGGGGAAAACTGAGAAAGATTCTCAAGAGGACCAAAGCCCAATTGAAGCTCATCGCATGGGCTCAAATAATACGAACTTTCTGCTGGGCCAATCATGGCTCAGAACTTCCCCCGGCAAGATTCAACAAGTTTGTTTCCAATTTCCACATGGCCCATTGCTGCTGTGTATTTAACTTCATTGGTGCCGGCCCATGATTTTACCATTTACCAGTAGGGGTAGGCACGGGGTGGTTAATCCGCTGATTGATATTGATCCACCCGCATATAACCCGACTCGCATGTAATGGATGATTGATGTGGGTGGATTGCGGATTGTTAAATCTCCCACCCTCACTTATGTGGGTGGATGGTGGGTGGATTGCGAGTCACCCGTATGACCCGCATCCTATTTTTACATGGAAAAATGTTGTTTCTTAGAGCACTTCTACTATGCTATATAGCATTGGTGCTTTAATGTACAACTCAAAGTTGTACCATAACATTAAATGTATAAGTTTAGGTTGTATCATAAAACAATTTGTACCATTATGTTATGGTACAACTTGAAGTTGTACCATCACATAAAGGTACAAGTTCAAGTTGTACCATAAAAGAATTTGTACAAAAAGTATAAGTATAATCTGAAGTTGTACCATAACGTAAATGTACAATTTTAAGTTGTACCATAAAGGCAAAAACCTATAGCACCAATACTATATAGCATTGTAAAATTTCTCTGTTTCTTATAGTATCGAATATTCATCATATTTTTGAATTGCACTACAGTCTGACCATATACTACAAAATGTGGAGAATAAAGAATAGTTTTGACTACTATTATTGGTTATTGTGTTGTGCAATATCCATTGGCAATGGATATTGGTATGCAAATTATTGTTATTATCCATTAAATATTGAGATACAAACTATAAATTATTAGTTGTATCAAAATCATAAATTATGGATACAATCTTACTAATGTGCTATGAACATGAACTTATTATAAATGTTAGTTAATTTTCTTAATGGCTAGTTGGAGAATTGCTTTTGCGGGTTAACTCGCGGCCCAGCCGCACCCATCCGCCACCCACCCAACCCAACCTACATAAGTATGTGGGTGGATTGTGGGTCACATATATTCCAATCCGCTAGTAAGCGGGTGGGTCAAATTTAGACCAAAATCCATCCAACCCACCCATTGCCCATCCCTATTTACCAGTGTTGCCTTGCCCAGCACGTCGAGTAGTTTTCGCTATCTATCTAAATTAATTTATATATAGATTATTTCAAATAACTCATAATCAATTGCAAAAATAACCCATTAGTCTTAACTCTTAATACAAATAGGGGATTTGAGGACCTATGAGGCATGAGCCATGGCTCATTCAATTTACTCATTCATTCATAACTATTTAGATTTTTATGAATTGATCAGTCTCAAATCACACTTTAATAACTCGAGACGATCCCTAATCACATGATATAAGCTCATGCAAACTCCTAATTTCCCTCTTTCGTCGGCACATGTTTAGGACCTAAAATCATCTACCACTCTCAATTGCTCCTAACTTCGGAGACAAACAGATGATTTTGTATGATTCGAACTTTAAACTATCAACTAAACTAGGGCTGTTAATCGGTGGCCGATTTTCCGGTTAACCTCGTAACCGAACCGAGACCGTCGGTTTTTCGGTAGACCGAAAACCGCAACGTCGGTGTCGGTTGGCGGTGTCGGTTGGCAGTCACCGGTAAATTAGAGAGGGTTGCGGTTATCGGTGAAAACCGAAACCGTGGCGGTTAAACCGAGACAACCGCGTGCCCTACCATCCCAGACTCTTCGGAGTCCCTGCTGCAGTCGTCGACCCATCGTCGCTCGCCACCGCCCTTCTCGGCTTCCCCACTGCCGCCTTCATCCTCCTTCTCGTAGTCCCAGACTCCCAGTAATCGTCAACATCGCCATTCCCCCATCGCTAGTCATCTCGCCATCGTCGCCCCGCAGTCCCGCCATCACCCGGCAGTCCGACGTCGCCCGACAGTTTCGTCGTCGCCCAAAAATACCGACGTCGCCCAGTAGTTCCAACCTTGCCCAGCAAAGGCGATGTCATCCAGCCATCCCCACACCGCCCAGCAAGGCCGACGTCGCCAGCAGATCCAGAAATCCGGCCAGATTCGCCCTCTGCGTCGGTCTTCTGCTAACCGCGACACCGACCCGAAACCGTGGCGGCGGTTTTCGGCTAACCGACAAGGCCATCGGTGTCGGTTGCGGTTGGCCTTTTTGGACGTTACTCGGCTGCGGTTAACCGCGGTTGCGGTTCGGTTAAAACCGAAACCGCACCGCTAACAGCCCTAAACTAAACCATATGGGCATATGTGATAAAATTGATCTAGCAGTAGTGCCTTTGACTTCTAGTCAGTTCAGATCCCTTCGTCCGACACTCTTTCGCCCGAAAATTTTGTGAAGAATCTACATTCTTTTGGTACAAAAATTTTAATATGATATTTTCGCACCAATTTAATAATTATAGCCGATACTCATTCATTAGACTTAAACGACACCTCTCTTCAACAATTCTGGAGATCCGCCACTGAATCCAGCATGTGTCACACCTAATCTTTGTATTCAAATGAGCAGCAAGTCTCTAATCTTAACAATAAGTGTAGTCACTTTGGACCCAAAAAAATCTTGCTTATGAGTTATGCACATACTGATATTTTTCAGCCCCTTCAGTTTTCAGCCAGTGCACCGAAACAATTAAATTGGCAATTGACTGATGAAAAGCGACATGCATGCATGCCAGCCAGGTCATATAAGGTAACATCAAACATGCATGCACTACAAGTTGCCTGTTGATATTTTCCAAGTCTCTAATCTAGTCAAGTCTTGTAGTCTTTCATTTTTTTTTTTACCGACAATAATAATTGATTAGGACATAGGAATTGACTTTTCAGTTAGTTATATATACAAATGGCGTTTTCATTGCTATTACTATATTACGTACTGGTAGTTATATATTCAATTAATGAGGTTGAACTTTCTAGTTCTTTCAAAATGAACAGTAGCCATCTATCAACTTCGTTGAACCCGTCTCCTTATTGAACTTTTTACTATTGACCAAATTATATGTGCCTTTTATCATTGCATCTTTGCCATTTAATCTCTAGTCATCAGAATCGTAATTATGTTAGTAAATTATATATAATTGATAATTAATCTCTCCTAATAACTCGGATCATAAAATATCATACTATAGATGGACATCTTGGGTCATTTTAAAAGATCAACAAAAGTCATTTTATGATTTGTTTTTCGATAAAAAAACTCATTTAGTATTTAGTGGTTACATTGAAAGTTGCAATGCTTCGTTCCATATCAAACGGACATATGGACCGGATCATACCAAACAGAATATAATACTATTCGATATTTTCCATGAATTTATAAATACAGAAGAAAAAAGGACTGAATAGATATTTGACCCGGGCCAAACCCAATAATGGTTCAGGCTAAGATTTCTTTTACTACTGGACCATGGTTCTCATGGTTTGGTTTGTTCTATACTGGATCATACGGTTGGACAACCTTAATTGTATCCCCTTTTGGCAGACTACAAGTAACTCTGCTACTATTCATTCGAGTTCGTGAAACCATATCGTACCGATAGTCCAATAAAAAAAAACTCATACCGAAGTATGAACCGATAGGCGATTTTACTTATATGAAACGGTTGAACCACAACTAAACTATGATTTCAGCACAAATTATCCAACTTAACAATTGTGGTTAAACCTCCGGTACGGGCTTAACATACATAGTGTTTATGTATGCCATCTAATGGCATTTAGTATTTTTTTTTTTAATATGAATGGCATTTGGCCCATGCGGCGATGCCCGTAAAAACTCTAGGGCTAATTCTTTTCGGAAGTCCAAACTATTCAAAAAGTGTCATTTGTGTTCTAAATTATTTAATATGAAAAATTTTGCACGAATTATTTTTCTGTTATTGTTGACCGACGTTGATCGCTAGTATTTAACAATATCTAGTCAACATCTATTTGATTTGTGGCAGATTTGTTATATTGAATAGTTTAGGACTCAAATATCACGAAACATATATAGTTTGTGCTAGATTTGTCATATTGAATAATTTGGAACACAAATTATACTTATAATATAGTTTGTACTTTTTAGTGGAATTAGCCCAAATTCTTAACCAGCTAGTACTATTATTAGTTGGTTCCAAACTTGGAGAAGAAGGTGGTGGCCGGTGGGAGGGAGAGTAGTCAGAAGGGACGGACGAGTGCTATTTATTAGACTGATAGGACTCGCCGCGTCCGCCTCCGTTCATGATTTTCAGGGAAAAGTCCGCCGCGAGAACTTTCCCATTCCCATCGCGCCGGCGAAACAAGTTCTAGTTAAAAGTAGTAAAAACCATCAACACTACTTTGGAACTTGGAAGCAGCTACGAAAGGAACATTTACACGTTTTTCTACATCATTGAATTTTGGGTACCATGGTCTTTCTCTCTATAAGATTCTACCGCCTGCTTCTCTGGTAAAATTAAAAATCCACCGGCCGCCGCCTAAAAACCCTTACACACCCCCGGTTTTTGTTTCATCTTAATCTAATTCCACGCTTAATTAATTTATTTCCCATGCATGTGCCTTGTGACTTGTGTAGTAACTGCAAATTAATCTCACTATCTAATACAATATATTAATTACTGATTAATTACTATGAGGAGTTCTAGATTACCTTTTATAAATGAGAGTATCTGTTTTTCGGCGAGGACAATCTTGGTGTTTGAACTTAATGAATACACTTTTGACTTTTTGAACAACGATAATCAACACGGTTCACACCTCTCCGAACAATGTTCGAACGAGGGTGTTTGATGTTTTGATGGTTTTTTTGGAACAAGCTACATTAATTACTCCCACTCCTATGGAGGTTCAGCGAGAGCTCCGAAAACTAAGGTTATGGCTAATTTGCAGAGAAAAGATAAAGTTTGACATAGTGTGTCAAATGGTTGGTTGTGGAACCCTTTTCCCATCTTCGTTTCTCCTATTTATAGCC